AATCTTACAAATTGATAAAGATTGATAAAAAGATGGAGGATTTAATCTTAATTAATGTATTAATGCGTAGACATTTTAAGACCATCGTCGATTTCAAATCTTGCCAAATATAAGAAAGAGATGTTATAAATAAATAATTATAGAAAACAAATGAAGGAATTAAACGGAAAAATATTCAGATTAAATTTATTATTTTTATTATGAAAATGCCTATAAAAATTCATGCTTCTTGTGTTGGTAGTTTTTGGTAGCTATATGCACGTTTGGGAATGGGATCATGCACAACTGATTTTAGGTTATCTTCTATGTTCGTCATTTCGTCAGTGTGAACTCTTCTTTCTTTTTTTATTTTTTTATTTTTTTAGGTAAAAATTGGTGTGAACTCTTCCCATTCGACTGTATACTTTCTTCGTTTTCGTCCCTTTTTAAGTTTTCTTTTAGACCAAATAATAAATTATATAATAAAAAGTAATCATTTTTTTTTTAATTTTTAAGTCTTTTGGATTAATTGTTATAATGTGTTTAAATTAATTTATGTATATTTTAAAATTAATTTTTTTTTAATTTCGTCGACGTCAAGTCACTTAGACATGAACAAGAAAGTTTATTAGAATCATCTTTTTATTGGCCATTTTAAGGAATTAAATGTTAATGAATAAGAGAATTTATCCATTAAGTCTTGTTCAACATGCATATATGGTTAAAGAAAATGATTTAGAGGTAATATTTTTATATTATTTTTTTGTATAATTTTATATATTGTTTAAATAATTAATCTTTTTTATTCATTTGAACCATAAGATAAATAATTTACTATAATTAAGAAAATAAACCCGGTGATATTTTGATTTGTATGTATAGGTGAACCTTTTTTTAAAAGACTTTTTATGATTTTTTTTTTTTCAGGTAAAGAGATGGAGTCCATTAATTAACCCCTCTTGCTTACCTTCCATTAAATTTCAATATCTCTCCCTTTTATATATTAAAAAAATTATTGCTATAATAAATTACTCAAGTTGTTAGTAGATGAACTTCCTTTTAGAAACTATCTTTAATTTTAAGGATATGGAGTGGAAACTGGAAACTAGAAACTCTACATTATATATTTAATTTAAAATGATTTCAAATAGATTTTGGGTTTAATGCTATTAACTTAACCACATCTCTAGGGGTAAATGGATGAAGATTCTTGTTGTTAGTCCATTGAAGGTTTTCTTTTACTTTCTTTCTTTCTTTCTTTCTTTATTTATTTGGTTAAAACATGAAAGTTCTGTAGTCACCAGCTAGCTTTGGATGCCCATTTGCTTCAAAAGCAAAGAAAGGCAAAGCAAAAGGATTAAACGAGGGTGTGGTTTGGTTTGGAATACAACATTTTCCAATACTAGTGAAACTTTGGTTGACTTCACAAAAACATAAGTTGCTTTAGAAAATTCAAAAGTTTTCTTTATGATCAGTTCGCCCATCTTCATTTTGAGTGCGTTTCCTAAGTAGAAAAGTTTCTGCTACAGGGTTCTTAATTGTGCCCATAAAAAAAAAAAAAAAAGTTTTTAATCCCATTATTGCAAGCTCATATTGCAAAGGCACTTTTGGCTCCACTTTGGTCATGCCTTTGCTTTTCTTGATGTGTAATTTTTTTCGGTAATATTTATTGATGTGAATTGACGGGTTGCTTTTCTTGATGTGCCTTTCTTATTTTTCTAACACAATCATGTTACTAGATAGAGCTTAAGAGCGTAACCGCAGCTTTGGTTACATTGATCTGGATGCACTAAATTTTTGATAAATATCAGAGTTTTAATTACTGTACTAACAGTTTCTCTATCTCTCTTTTCCTCAATTGCCCTTGTTTAAAAAAAAAAAAAAAAAAACAAGAGATAGAGCATAAGAGCAATAATTAGTGGTATATCCCATATTAATTAGTGTCTCAGGCTACTGGAAGGCTGTCACAGAAGGCAAAAGGTGCCTCAGGTTAGAAAGCTCATGCTGCCACTACAGGAGCAAGCTCAATCGGTGCCGATAACTTCAAAACCTTGATTTTAAGGGTTCAAGTGTCTGCAATAGCTAACCACTTAGCTTTAATTGCCAACCAAAAAACAGAAAAATGGAGCCAAAATGCTATCCAGATTCCAGAGAGTGTGCTAAAACTATTTTCTAAATTAACATCAAGAATAATGCTAACTGAACATTTAAAGTTGAAGTGCAAAGGTTAAAGTGCAAAAGGTCAACTCTGAAAATCACAAAACATTTTTCACTGAACATTCAAGAAAATGCTTAAAAGTAACTGAACAATCAAGATTAGCAGTAAAAATTGCAGAAGTTTAAAATGCTATAATCAAATTTAAAAAGCTGCTACAATTTAATCGAAGTGCTGAATCCTTGCTTCAATTGATGGATCAATTTTCACTTGTTGGCATGCTTGATTTTTTTTGTTGGTCTGCCCTTCCTTGGAAACTATTTCCTCAAATAAGTCCCTGACGCTGCAGATCAGTAAATGTCCTTTTGTTGTAGATATTACCATCTGTGTCTTCAAATTCTTCAAAATCTTGGTGCCAATTGTTCTGTCCTTGCTGTTCTTGTATATGTTCCCACAGTGCTTGTGCTTCCTGGATTGGTGTGATTTCATTGAAGTTCTTTGTGTTAGGAATATTAAGGCTACGCATCCCACTCTGATGCCTTGATTCTTGAAAATGCCTTTCAAAAGCCCTACGCCCCCAGTAGCTGTAGTCCCCACATATCTCACACTTGAATTCCCTACCAAGACCATGAAGCTTGTAAAGCCAGAAAGGTATCGGCTTTCCATCCCAACCCATTGGTAGTTTAAGGGGATTATAGATCTGCTGCTCTTCGTCATCACTCTCAGTGTCTACTTGTTTCTCTTCCTCCTCTCTGTCTCGTTCCATTTCCTCATATGTCAAAGCCTGCTTCTTCACTAGATTTTGTTTTGTTTGTTCAATTGTCTGACTCAACAAATCACAAAGTTTCTTCATTTTCGCCTCCATCAATCCAATGTCTTTCAAACTTTGACTGCCAAAATACATCTCGTTTCCTTGTAACTCAAACTCAGACACAACCTTTGCAAATATTCTATCAAGATCTTGCAGCGGTTCTGTCCTCTGAAAGAAATATATCAAATACTCCAGCAGATTCTCCATGTACTCCCTGTATTGCCTGGTTAACTTCAATTTGCGAGGTATATTCTGTGTCTGTGGAAAAACATCAAGGTAAGCAGAGTACTCAATTGGATCTCCAAGTTTCAAATTAATGTACTGATTGTACAATTCATGCAAGTCTAGGCACCGACCAAAGGCCTCCTCTCCAGTAAACTCAATTACTGGCAGTTCTTCATACTCTACATTAACATCAACAACCCCAGCAGCTGGCGGATGCTTTCTATGGTACTCACGAATCTCTTTCAATCTACCATAAAACCCACCAAACACGTTAGTTCCAAGCTCCACAATCTCTTCCTTCATTGCATTATCATTATCATGATAAGTCTCTATGAGTTTCTCGGTGGTGGAGGTGATGGTGTCGATCATGTTGCGCAAGCGGTGACCCTGAAAGAGACGATCTTTACTGGTGGTAGGAAGCCCCTTTCGAAGGTCCTTGACTATGAGTCGCTCCAGCCGCTCTACCTCCTCGTGTGCAGCTCGAGTCATCTCTAGTAGTGTTGAAGCCATGAGGGAAAATATCTTCTTCACTTCTGGCTCCGGGGAATTATTAAGGGAAATATTAGATAAAGAACCTGGGGAAGTACAGTATATTTATAGGCTCTTCAATTCTAATCCTACTCAATTTCCAATTATCTCCAACCCAATCCTAAACAAATTCGAATTTTCTAACGTTCTAAGCATCTCAACAAACCCAAAAATCGTTGGCCGAAAAAAAAAAAAAAAACCCAAAAATCAGATCGGTTTATTAATCTGATTTGAGAATCAAAGCACGGGAAAAAATTTTCAAATCATAGATAAAGGAGGAAAGGGGTTAACTTGAAACTCCAAAGGCAATCAATGATCTCCTCCAAGGCCCTAGAATCGTCATCCTGGGAAGTGGGGACTCAAACTGAGCCTTTTGGTACGGTGGCCTCGATTTTGAGTTCCACTTTCTTCTCTTGCTCCTGTTTTGCCAGGTACTTGTGGAGCAAAAAGACTGCGAAGATGAGAAAAGGAGAGAGAGAGAGAGAGAGAGACCCCAAAACGGAGAATGTGATTGATGGAGTTTTCGTGTGTTGGGAAAGTGACGCTGGTGCCGGAGTAAGGGCAGGGCTGAGGCGCCATTTGCTCTCTGCTCTAGCTCCATCCTGCTACGTTATTGCTGTCTTCTTCACTCCAATTGGAAGATGATTTCTTCCGTTGCAGTACCCCGAAACGCAAGCGTTTTACTCTAAAGACGAAGTTGGTTACTCATGTCGCTGTCGTCATTTGACTTTTAACCATGTCCCTGCCTACATCCCTAACCTCCTGTTTGTCTCAATTCAGTCCTTACCAAGTTTTGCAAATTGCAGTTTTATCAAATAGGGTTTCTCCTTCAATGATTTCTTTAGTGGTTAAAAGGAAACCGCTTTGATTTTTTTTGATAAATGAAGATTTATTGTAGATCTTATAAAATTCACATGGCATCAAATAAGTTGTTGATATTAATTCACACATTTTATTTGAATTAAAAGAGTTGATAAAATTTCTATGATGTTTTATTATAAGATTTTATTGTAAATAAATTATTTTTGTAAAAAAAAAAAAGAAATTGATGATACAAGACTATTTTTAAAATGAAAATTTAAAAGTTTAAAACTAAATAAAATAGTATTTGCTTGATGAGATACTATGATAGGTGTTATATTTGTGGTTTGTTCCTTTAACAACACAAATTAACAGCTAAAGTAATTGTGTTGTATTTGGTTAGGGAATAAAATGAGACAAATGAAAGTTTAAGGTCATAATGGAAACACGCTTAAAAGGTAAAGGCAGCCGAACAGAAATATTGACCCCCAAAGGTCAAAAGGAGCGTAGAAACGACGCCGCTGACTTAAATTATGCCCTATATGGCTATATATATACACACACAAATATCCCTCCCCGATCGTCTTCTTCCTCTGAAATTTCTAGAAGAATCCCTAGGAAGAGAATCGAAGATGAGGCCAATGCCGATGGATTTCTTGGGCGATCCTGATGACCAGGGCTCAGCCATGGAGGTGGACGACGTCGACCCGCTCGAGATCTTCGGCGAGGGAGTCATCTCCATCGACAACAAGCTCCCCGACGCCGACTTCTTCAACAACTTCGAGGACGATTTCGACGATACCGACATCAACTAGAACAAATCCCCCTGACGTGATGCCAGGGTTTGCTCTCGTGTTTTTTCGATTTAGCATTAAAGCAAAAAATTATTAAAAAAAAAAAAAAACTCTTTCAATATCCTGTGTTGGTAATACAATTTGCTGAGGATTTGGGTATTTAGATATAGCTGTATTTTATGCAGGATTCAATGAAGGCTTCCTTTATCCGATTTTTCTCTAGTTTTTAATTAATTTTCCTGTTCATTTGCTTGTTTAATTTGTTTATTATGAGAAATTGAGTAATAGAGAATTGAAGCTAGGGTTTCGTGTTGATTATTCAGCAGATTCCGGATTTGAATTATGTTTTAATCTCTTTTTATTTTGTATCACTTGGTTGTGTACTGGAGAAAGAAATCTACAATCAGGTTGATGTTTACGCCTTCCAAAAAATTTACCAAGCAAGACTTGTTTCTACACAATTTAATTTGTGTTTGTGAATTTAATGGCGTGCTTGGTGTTGCACCCAAAAAAAAAAAGGGTGGTAGTTGGTATTTCATTGTTAAGAGTTTGAGATTATTCAAGTTTGTGCCTTGAAACTGGTTGAAACTGGTTGGAAGGGATTGAGGGAAGGGGGTCATTTGCTATTTTATAAAATAGCCCATAGTCTGATGTTCAAAAAAAAAAAAAAATTTATTGGTGTTCTTGTTACTCATTTGTGCTAGTGTTGATGTGCATCAAAAAATTCAAATTTACTAAGCAAGGATTTTTCTCTAGCCAAGTTGATTTATGGTTGTGAATTTAATGGTGTTCTTATGACTCAATGAGGCTGCAATTTAATTTTTGGAATGTGTCATTGGTGCTTGATTTGCAATTTAATTTTGAGTAAAACTTTACGTATACATAATTTCCATTAATTTTTTTTATTTTTAATTATTAAGATTCATGTATATTTGTTAAACAATTATTTTTTATATAAAAATTATAAAAATAAATAATTAAAACTTTATATAAGTATAATATATAGAATTTATAAGTAAATAAACAACTCCTCTTTTAACCGTTTGATGAAGGGGATGATGATATAATGTGGTCATGGTGGGAATCATTAAAGAGCAATTCATCACAAAAACAGGAACGAGTAGATAGAAACAATCCCAATAGTTTTAATTGTATCATTTAGATTGCAAAATAAATAAATAAAATCTCTCCAAAATTTAGCCTGTGAAAATGGCTGCCTATTAAGGGTTATCTACCAACTTGAAAAGGCAGAGGAGAAGAATATAACAGGTCATTTAGTATATATCTTGATCAGCAACAAGTAGAGAACATCTAACTGTTTACTAGAAAACATCAACTACAATCCTTTTAGCAAATAAATAAAAGAAAAAAACTTAAACCCAATTTCTTAACATACACATATCGGGCCTTGAACACCATATTTCCATTTTATCTGTGGCCCCTTTTGTTCCTGTAAAATCAACTGCTTGTAAACAATGCCTTCCTAACAAATTGAAAGGCGTAAAGGCAGATACAAATACAATAATGTCAATCTCGAGACCTACTTTTTTCTTGGCTTGTCCACCTACCTTCCAAGTTAGATTCCTAATGATGGAGATGGCATGAACTAACACAGTAAACAACAAAGAGAACGAGCTCGTATTTGGAAATTGCTCCTAGCTACCAGGTGAGGGCTTGAGTCACGAGATGCGATCAGTTTATAAACATTGGATGAAATGGAAGGAAATAGACTCACGTTCAGCATCTAGTCCTGAAAAATATGCAGTTGGAAACCTGCTATCTTATCCTGAAGCATAACAGCGTAAAATCTGCAAAATTTTGAACATAAAATGGCCAGGATCAGATTTCAATGCTCGATAATAACAAAAAATATACAAACAACAAATATCTAAGGTGAGTTAATAAAGAATAGAATTTCTTTACTTTTTTGTGGGTAACCATTTGATTTCACAGCAAATGCTAAAAGGTTGCTTGTACATGACCAAACCCATCATGGATGTTTATTTATCAACATAAAATAAAATCCAACTGACGGGGGGAAATTAAACTAAATTCATTGACCTCTCAAAATCTGCATCAAAGAGAGGAAGACTAACCATTTCAGCTGAGTCACATGTTTCATTGGTGGATAATCTTTGTTGGTTGTTAGCATTCCAAAGCTGCATATGTCGGGAACTAAAACAAAAGCAAATAGTTTGTCAATAATCAAATACAACAATGAAAATAAACCAATATGATGAACATTTTCATTTTTAGAAGATAGCAAAGAATAGGAAGGCATTTTAGTAGCAGGAAAAGTATCAAAGAAGGGTTTTTTTTTTTTTTTTTTTTTATTTCCTGAAAAAAAAAAATTGTTTACCATTGGGGATTCAAAACCATCTCTAAATGATGGGGATATGCACCTTTACCAAAAAGCTACAGATATTAGTACTTCTCTTCTTTTGGAAATAATTCATCGAATTTTGGCCTCCTACCTCAAGCATATTTTCATCAGTGAAACTGGGTGTGATATGATTTACATCGAGAGACCTATCATACTGGAGAATTCTTAGCTTCCCTTCCTGCATTTCACAGCAAGGAATATAGAAAATTAGTATGTTTATCTACCAAAAACCCAAGAGGTAATTTATATAATTCTCAAAATGCTCACCTTGGTTCCATAGACAAGGCCACCCCCAACAGAAGGATGAAAGCAAGCTACGTTTACCTCATCTTCTGCACTTGGAAGAACTCTGACAAGCTCCATATCAGAGACTCTGTAGACCTGAGTAAAATAGGATATGCAAGTTAGAAAAATATAATTTTGACTCATCTCCTTCTAGAGGATATACATGTTCTCAAGCACTGCTTTCAATTAGTGTGTATATATATATATAAACAGAGAGAGAATAGATCAGTAGATACAAGAATATTACCTCCAGAATAGTATAAATGGGCACTGTTTTCTCTCCATCAATAACAAGACTTTTGAGCAATGAACTATGACGACGGCCATAGGCAAGTAACAAATGCTCTGAGGTCGGTGAAAACTGAAAATTAGAAGAAAAAGAAAACATGAAAAATGAGCATACATCTATAGTTTGATTTCATTTATTGAAGTAAACATGCATCTTTTTCATGTGCGTGGACATCCTGTTTACAAAATCATATAGGATAAAATTAGCTACTTGATTACAGAAAATGATACAAGCACCTTGAGCAAATTGCATCCCAATTAAGAGTAAATCAGATTTTATTTATTTATTTATTTATTTTTATAATTGACCTTGATCTAGTGAAAAATTTCATATAAGCAATGATTAATACTTTTTCAAAGAAAAAAGTAGGAAATATGCTAGAGGCCAATAGGTAATTAAAAAATTGTTGGAATGGGAGGGACAACAGAAGAAAAGGGGATTCTGTCATTTAATGTCTTACACCAGAGAATTGGCAGTTTCCCATACAGACTTTTTTTGTTTCTTTTCTTCTCCTTCTTCAATTTTTTTTTTTTTTTAAAATTTGGAAATAAGCATGCAGGTACTGATGAAAATACCAGGCAATTAAACGCCATATATCTAGAAAGGAGAAGGGTCAACCTGAATAGAGGTTAAACAGTGAGCAGCTCTTATTGCCCGTGATGCAAGCACTGAACCAAACCTAAACAAAGAACAGGCAATGAAACGATTAATACTTTGACTTGGGTAGTGTATACTCATTTTAAGATGCTGAATGGAGGTAAAAGAAAATGAGATAGATAAATAACACCAAAGCTAAAATGGTATGGTTATGAAACATAGATTTATAATAGGTTAGTGATTTACGTTGCCTCTTCAAGGGAATATATCCGAAGCTCATACATAACTTGATGAGCTGAAATTGGGTGTCGTGTAGGAGATGTTGATACTCCATTTATGTCATGATTGAGGTGGTTTTGTAGTCCAGGATCAGCTTCCACATGAGGGAGTACACAGGCAACACAGGCTGCCAAAAACCTCCCACAGGGAGAAAAATGGGCACCCATTTCACTGCAAGGGTGGAAGTAGATATCAACAGTTAGGGAAACAAATGATATGGCAGTGAATTGCACATATAGATGCCATCATAAACTTGGCAAGATAGTGAATTAGAATTGTATCAATTTAAAGATCAGTAAGGTCAAGCTAAAATTTTACTTTATAAAAGCTGGGTTGGGAACAAGAAAAATTTTAATTTTGCTTGTCAAGAGAACTGACAGTCGAGACATCATAATCCATACCTACAAAGCACTGCATGTGGAATGATCAACCGACATCTTTCTGGATCAAGTGTAGCAGATGGATCTTTCACATCATGAGACCATATTCTTAGTTTCACCGTGCAAGGCAGCTCTGCTGCTGCTGCCAGTGATGTGGCAACTTCAGTTGGCACTCTACTAATAGCAGGTTGGGGATCACTTCCCTCTCGCATCATGTTATTGTTACCAGAACCTTCACCATATCCACTAGAGGACAGTATGCGAGAATGTGAAGAACGATGTCTGGTACTTGATCTTCCTGCAGCTCTTGATTGCCCAGTAGTGGTGGGCATTACCAAAGAAGCCACTGGAGTTGAACTTCCAGTTTCACCAGAAGGAAGTGAATTCTCACAGCCAACATTGTTAGGCAGATGCATAATTCGTTGGCCAGCTTGGGTCTGGCCAATCAACCATCCATGCATGAACGATAGCTCCAAAATGGTTGGTTCACCAAAAGAGAAAAACTGATTGCTTCTCTCTGCTGGCTGGACCTCCATAGTCTCCATCGACTCCATTGCAGAATTAGAAACTTGAGTTTCCATTTCATTTGATAAAGGATTACTTCCTCTTTCCTCTTGTTGAGAAGAAGAGTTATTTGGTTCAACAGCAGACAAAAGAAGTTCATACTGCCCCATTGGAGTTGAATACGTCATAAGCCGCACTGAAGAAGACTGACTACCTCTGTGTGGGGCATCATTCAAACTCCCATCACCATCAGTATGCTGCAAAGATGTTCTGACATTTTCTCTAGCAACTGAAGGCCATATAAAGAAGGGTAAAGGCACAACAGGCAATTCATTAGCCAGATTAGACTGACTACTGGCAGGAGCATCTGCCAAATATACAGTAGGAGGGGGATAACGCAAATCACCCAAAGAAGTAGCAACCGTCATTGATGAATCAGATGGCTGGAGATCACTGACCTACAATCAACATAATAATTCAATGAAAAGGTAGTCAATGCCAGCGTTTAATCAATTTTGCAGACCAAAACCTAACCTCGGCAGTCAAGAGAAATGGAGCTGCATGTGGGTGAAAATGTACAGCTCGAAGTGAACGACGTGTCCTTAGTATAATGGTTGGCGAGGATGTCTCCCCTCTCCTGTTGTAGTGCCATATAAATAGCTGACATGAGAAGTTACAAATCAGCTCTGATCAATAACAATCTAAAAAGAAAATTGAACAATTCACAGCAAAAATTATCCTCACTTTGTGCCCTGATGCTACAGCAAGAAGATCCCCTTGGGCATGGAAAGCAATGGAAGCAATGGGGCGGTCTGCATGGAGGAAAGAAAATCAGCATGTAGACCAGACAATTAAAATATAATTATCAACATGTTACACAAGCTATCCATGCAAGAAATTACAGAAATCACGAGATCCTATGCACTCAGCAGTGTTTGCATCCCACAAGCGAACTTCGTGATCCAAACTTCCACTTGCAAGTATTTCTGGATACAATGGATGAAATCTAACCTGTAAAAGTACCGTAAATAGATTAGACAGTTCCAGTACCTTGGCTTGCCATTAAAACAGAAATCAGCACAACAATATAAGATTGAGAAAGTAAGATCCAAAAAATTAATTACAGCATGCTGTAATCAAACCAGCCTTACAAAATTGACCCAATTGCAAAAATTATCTCTTTAGAATCATCTGGACCTTGAAACTTTATATGATTCTCACATCTAACTTTAAAAAATATTCAAGTTCACGAGCCGATGAAGTGATACACCTCCAAGCAAGAGACATCATTGTAAACTCAAGCAAGTTAATGTCACCTACTATTCATCTAACATCCAACTGAGTCAAGGAAAAGAAGGAAAAGAAAAGCTTACCACCCATGGTGTCCTTCGATGACCACTTAAAACCTTTAAGCAGCTTCCAGTTTGGCAATCAATAATCTTAACTGTATGATCCCCACTGGAGGCAATCAAACATAATTGAAATTTAGTAATAAAGCATATCTTAAAAACAATTTAACCAGTTCCATACCAAAGAAATATACACTTGAATGAACAACTCACTGTGTAGAAGCAAGCCTTTTACCATCCGGGCTAAAGGCTGCTGCAATAGTTGACCTAGGAGGAGGCAACAAAGGACAGTACTTGGATGACAAATGTAACAGTGATTCTGCCTCTACCCTGAAGTAATGATTGGAGTTAAAAGAATAAACCAGAATCCTTACTAGAAGACCTTACCCAAACATTTCTATCAATAATACATATTAACAGAGAATAGACAAAAAACACAAAGCATGGGAAAACCGTGTGACTTAAACTGGACAAGACAGGCATTACCATGAGAACAGATCATGCTTAGCATCTCTTGCTGCCTGACACCTTGACTCAAAGGAATCAGAACGACCCTTTGTCTCTTCTCCCCATAACTTTCTCAATGAATGTTTAGTTCGTGGAGAAACCTCTCGCTGTGCCAAGAGTCGAAAGACATTGCTGGAAGAAGCAAAAGTTTTAGTATAACATCAGCATCAAAAAGAACATCACAAAGATTTGAATTAATACCAACATAAAATTTCAGAAGTTATAACATTCAATAAAATAAATATTCCAATTATAAAGTAGTTACCGACCCTTATAGATAACTTGTCAGTTCACGTCAAAACTCATGGTTTAGAAAATGACTGATTAAACAATTCTATAGATAGTTTCTAGCAAAAACCAGGGAGTTAATGTAACAATGGAGTCGGCAACCTTGGAAAATCTCATCTGCTCTATTAAAGTTCAAACCTAAAGCAAACAGCATTTATCCAAGGCACTGTCTATTTTATTAACTGAATGAAATTGCATGAGATGAAATCCAAAAGACATCAAATAATGTTTACAAATTATCTATAAAACTAATCCCATCTACTTACTGGACGCAAAATCCTAGCTTGATTGGAAAGTTAATAAATAATAAAAAAAAAAAAAAAAACCCAGTCCTAAACAAAATTATTAAACAATAACATCATATAAAATACCAAAAATACTTAACTCAATCCCATTTTTATTCATATGAATCATATTGAGCAAAAGGGCATCTAAATTCAATCAAAATCTTAAAAATTAAACCCAGATTAATCCAAATTCTCCCAGAACTACAAAAACCCCGGATCTCAAACATCACAAAACCCCAAAATCCCCAATAATTCAAATCAAATCCGACGATAAACAACAGCCACGATTCGCAAATTCCAAACCTGTGACCGCATGATCTCGCTTGAGAACCCCGAGACGGATGCTGCGGCGAGCTTGATGTTGATGGTGCATTCGCATCTTCGGCCCACAAGGAAGAATCCCTCATTCTTCACCTCAGAATCTAACATCCTTCAGGAACGCCCAAGCATTTTTTAAAACAAAACTAGGAAAAAAACTAAAATCTTCCCCCAAAAAATAAAACGATTGGGGATTTGGATTTGAGTACTAACGAATGTCCGCTAATTGATCAGTTAGATTGATGCAATTCAGTTAGGCGGGTTCCGAAATTTGGTAGGGTGGTGTGTTTGTTTCCGAGGAAACCTAGAAGGAAACTGGAAGAGAAAAAGGAGAAAGAGGAAAACAGCGTCTGCGCTGTGGGCTTGAAAATGGACTGGAATTATAAGTCTTTTTTTTTAATTCCCTCAACGGGAACGTGTTTTAATTATTTTTATTTTTATTTTTTTGGCGGAACTCATTTGCGTCAACGATTTGACAAAAATACCCCTAAACGTCGTTTTCTGTTAACGGCGCCGCCTTGGGCTCTCTGAGTTGTATACTACAAGGACGCGCACTCAGTTTGAACCAGGCCCAACAACTATTGGCAGGCCAAAATGAAGTGCCCTTTTTTTTGGGCCACACAAAAAGAGGAGCCTCTCTCTGTTTTTTTTTTTTTTAAAAGAGAAATAAAAGAAAAAAATGAAAATTGATAAGTAATAATAATTTGTTTGAAATAAATCCTAGCTGTGTCCTATACTTATACATGCAATACAATTGTAGATTTTTATTTTTAACCAACAGCAGTTTTTTTTTTTTTTTTTTGGGGGGGGGGTGGGGGGTTTACAAAGGGATAGTGTATTCCAACTCGAATTTAAACTCAACCTATTTCCTCAGCTAACAACATTATAAAAAGACAATTACTTTTGAAGGGAAATAAAACTAAAAAAATGGGGCATAGAAAATACTAAGGATTACCCTAAATTGTTATTCCATTTAAATTATTGTGAGTTCCACGTTTTATTGACCAAAAAATGTATTATTTTTGTTTTACTTTAGTTATCTTAATTTTTTTTTATTTTTTAAATAATAGTTTTATATAAAAAAAATTAATATAATATATAAATGATAATT